CGTGGCTGCCTACATGCTCTGGATTGCGGCGCGTAATTCGGCAGGTAGAATCAGTGGTGGTATTTTTCCAGTGGGAATAACGGTGTTTGACATCGTGATCGATTCTCTTTTGTCGTGAAAATGTGCGAGTCCCGTCTTTGCGAAACACAATAGTCGAGAAGGTCCCTGCGCTACTTCTTTAGACTTCTCCTTCCTTGTACTGCTTCCAAGGTTGCCTGTACTTTTGAAGATCTTGCAAAGCTGTGTTGTTCCTATCAGTCGCTCGAGATGTGATGCAATCGGATCCAGCCTTAGTCTCCTCCTCTCAAGCACATCCTTGATGGCTTTCAAAATTCGTTTCAAGTTCCTTGTTCGAGGCATTGAAGCGCTTTCACCACAGGCCCTCAGTCCTCTGAGAAGCAGATCGTAGTGTTTCGTCGGGTCCTCTTCGATGGACCAGTCACAAGTGGTAAGGAGCTCCTCCAATCTGACGCCGTCATATACAACTTCTCTCCTTCCTCCAACATGGTAACAGGTCTTCTTTTCCAACTTTCGGCGCACTTTTGCTCGAAGGAGGTGGTGATCTGAGCCACTACTGAAGGATGGTACCACTGAGACCTCCAGTAAGTATCATCTTTGGTTGGTGAGAATGTGGTCGATCTCCGCATGAGTCGTACCGTTGGATGACTCACATGTTTATCGCCGGTGTTCTTTCTTCAAGAAGATGGAGTTTCCATGAAAAAGTCGTGCGGTAAATGACAGTCCAACAAGACGCATTCTCATTCCGAGGTTCTAATCCAAATCTCCCGATCCTATACTCCCCTCCTTGTGACATCCCGATTTGCGCATTAAAGGTAACCCATGACAAACTTAAAGAAGGGTGTTCTTTGTGGATGACTTTCTTTAGATGCTCATAAAAAGCGTCAAGTTTCGAATCACCAGCTGCTTGTTGGAGGATAGCAGTTGATGATAGTAATGGCTTTCTGATGCAGAGAACGGAGTCGAAGGATAGCCAGGCGAGCCGATAGGATTTCATGCGAATCGACAAGATGGACTACAGATGGGTGTACTACAAATCCAACGTCTTCAACGTTCTGTGATGAAATTTTTCTCACCACGGATGATGATTGCGCCATCACTCGCTGCTTCGCGTTCGTCTTCTTTGACTTCTGCGATTATGTGATAGTTGATGCGCCCTGCAGCTTCAATTCAAGAAGGGGGTGAAGATCGACGTTGGTGGAGACTGTCCTGGCGTTATAGGTGCAGAGCATGAGATAATCTCCATGGTGACACGTTGTTCTTTGGTCCAAAATTCATGGCATTCTGTGCAACATGGCTCTGGTGATGACATCCACGCCGTAGATGTGATCCAGTGTGCAGGGCTTCTTTTTCTATTACATGATGTACAAGCAATGAAATAAATTCTCAAACTTAGCAGACTTGGCAGGGCCTGCCAAAATTTCACCACAGGCAGCTGACCTACATGGATCAGGAAACCACCTTGCAACTTAATCAGCCAGACGATGGGGTTCTGGCATGGAACTTAGCTGGGCAGCCGGGAAGCTGGAAAGTCGAACTCCTCCCCATCTTAGGAGACCCTGCTGGAAGATAAACCTTCGCTGTACTTCGCAATTCGACACCCGAGTCACTCGCGCGCCACGATGAGGGGTAGACCATCACGGAGGTTTATTGAAGCTATCATCCATAAAGTCGCGAACCCAATATGAATATGTGCAATTTAATGCACGCAAATGCGTGCAGTGCGTGCGTAGCATGATTTTATGCAAGCCAGTTTGCAAACAGGCCACCTAAAGTCATTTACAAAACAGCATGCATAGCCGTAGCAATTATATGAGTTAAAGAATTGCGTAACGCTGCGATTTCTGTTCACATGTGTAATAGGTATAAAAATTGATCAATCTCTTCATTTCACCGTCTCTCAATGAGCATGAATATTTGATTTACTGTTTTAAATTCAGAAAACATACTCAAGAGTTTAATTAGACACCTATCTTTTAGCAAGAAATTTTACAAAAATATTCCAAGGACCAATCAAGTTTGATAAAAAAAATCATTGAATTTATTATTAGAAATGTAGCCTATCCACGTGCAGATCCTTCCATCCATATTCTTTCCTTCTTCAAAAAAATTGATGTTTCAGCATTGCATGTTCATATTATTTAGTCACATCATGCTATACCATATA